AGTGCCTCCATATTCTTTCTCGCCTCAAGTAATCCTTTCGCCTCCGCCATCTTCATAGAAGGTTGTTCTAACCTCTTCTTCTCAAGGGGTCTCTCATCCTCTTATTGAGGTATCCTTTGGACGTGATGGGGCCTCCTCCTCCCTTTCGTCAGTAGAGGTTGCTGGAGCTCTGGAGGCTATAGCTTCTTTTTTGGGAAGGTCGTCCTCTTCCTGGTCTATCGAGAAGACTCCTTGTTTGTGTGTGGAGGGTCTACTTATTAGGAATGTGAGCCTTGCCTTTAAGACCATTGCCTCAGTCATCCCTGAGCCCGACATTCAAGAGGCCTTGATAATCCATTTGCATACTTCTGCTACTACCGCTTTGTACCAACAACTTCACTAAGTCCTGACCTATTTGAGTTTTGCTTATGTTTTGAGTAAATAATTTTTGCTAACCTTAACTTCTTCTTGTGCTTTTCTCAGCTGGCCATTTACGTAAGTGCTCTGGTAAACAGGGTCCAAGCTATGAAAATCATGGCTGAGTAGGCTCAGAAGTTTTTGAAGGCATATGAGCTCAAGGTTTTTAAGCTGGCCTTCACCAATGATGACCTCAAGGCCCAAGTATATGACTTGAGGGCTCGTGTTGAAGAGCTGACCTTAGCAAACAAGGGCCTAGAGGTAGAGCCTAAGAAGGCAAAGGAGGAGCTCAAACTAAAGACTACTAGCTTGGTTTAGGCGTAGAAGGAAGCTTCTGAAGCCCTCGACTCTTTGACTACTTTGAAGAAGGATTATATTATGCTTGTTCAGGTCAATTCCATGTTGCTGGATGAGATAGAGGTGGAAAGAGTCAAGAACCGAAAAAAAAAATGCCCAGATTGCAGAGCTTAATGATGACACAGCTACAAACTGGGCTGCAGGATACTTCGCCTTTCAGGAGCAAGTTATGGAGAAGTATCCAGACCAAGACTTCGATTTTGACCTTGCTCTTGACAAGGAGAAGGAAAATTCAAGTGTTGAGAAGGAGGTAGAGGTCCTAGTTCCTGCTGCTCTTGGGGTGGAGGAGCCCGTGGCTGGTGAAGTTCTTACTGAGGCAGAGGTAGGGAGCTCCAAGGTGACTCTGCCCCCAGTCGAGGTAGAAATTCCTACTTTTGTCTTCTTTGAGACTCTTCTCGACCTCCCCCCAACTTCTTCTATTCCTGAGCCATCTGAAGTTTTTCTTCCTGTTGCTCCTTCTGAGGTGCCTCAAGCCACCATTGGACCTTCTGTATAGATTTAGGACTTTTTTATTTTTCGTGTAATTAGAAGACCTTGTACTTTGCTTCTCTTGGGAAATGAAAATATTTTCTTTTACTTGCTTTGTACTTTATTTTTATTCTTTCCCCTCTGCCCCTTGCTTCGAGGAGAACTCTGTTCTTCTAGAAGTGAATCTAAATTTTACCAAGTGTGAAGTCTTCCCTTATGTCTGTTGAACTTATCTGTTTGCTAAGAGCTTCTTCGTTTTTGAATAACCTATACAAGTAGAGATGCTTACCTTGATTTTGAAGATCTCATTTGTGTGTTTATGAGCTGGAGAGCGCATCAAGTGTTTATGAGCTGAAGGGCTCTTCGTGAGCTGAGGAGCTCATTGTTTATTTATGATCTAAGGAGCTCATCATTTATTTATGAGTTGAAGAGCTCATCAAGAGTTGATAAGCTGAAGAGCTCATCATTTATTCATGAGTTGAGAAGCTCATCGTTTATTTATGAGCTTGAGAAACCCATCGTTTATTGATAAACTGAGAAGCCCATCGTTTATTCATAAGCTTGAGAAGCTCATCGTTTATTCATGAGCTGAGAAGCTCATCATTTATTTATGAGGTGAAGAGCTCATCGTTTATTTATGAGCTGAGGGGCTTATCATTTATTTATGAGCTGAAGAGCTCATCGTTTTTTTTATGAACAGAAGAGCTCATCATTCATTCATGAGCTGAGAAGCTCATTGAGTGCTTATGCTAGCAATAGAATGTTGACTGAGTAGAAAATTTGTCATTTTTATTGATGATGAATTTTTACAAATGTTTCGGTTATTGAAAGAATCTCTTCAAATGGTCAGCGTTCCAGGAATGGGGTAAGATCTTTCCTTCCTCTGTTTGTAGCTTGTAATTCTCAAGTTTGATTATCTTGGAAATGATGTATGTGCCTTCCTAGTTGGGCCCTAACTTTCCACAAGAAGGATCCTTTTCTACAAGGGGAAGTTTTTTGAGGACCAGATCTCTGACTTTGAAGCTTATGTGCTTGACCTTCCTGTTGTAATATTGAGCTGTCTTTCTCTGATAACTCTTGATGCGCTACAAGACTCTGTCCTTCTTCTTATCTAATAGGTGGAGGTTGAGCAGAAGTGACTCATCATTATGCTCGAGTTTGGAGAGCTCTGTCCTTGGGGATGGGATGCCTATCTCCATAGGAGCTACTGCCTTGGTTCCGAATGCCAAGGCAAATGACTTTCTTTTGAGTTGCTGACTTGGTTATAGTTATGTAAGCCCATAACACCTCTGGAACGTGTTCCATCCATCATCTTTTTAATGCTTTAATTTTGGTCTTTAGAGTTGCCTTTATGGTTCAGATAGTTACTTCTGTCTACCCATTCGAATGAAAATGAGTTGGAGCTAAGAAGTAATTCCTTAAACCCAACTTGGCACAAAAATTTTTGAATTTGGAGTTGTCAAACTGCTTCCCATTATCTGAGACAATTGCTTTGGATATTCCAAACCTGTAAATTATAGATTTTCAAGTAAAGTTCTAAACCTTCTGCTCTGTAATTGTTGCCAAGGGTTCCATTTCAACCCATTTGGTGAAATAATTCACTCCAATGATGGCAAATTTGCATCGTCCAGTGCTGGTGGGAAGAGGTCCAAGTACATCCAATCCCAACTATTGGAATGAACAAGGGCTGATTACTAGGGTGAGGAGCTCTAGTGAACAGTGGGGGATGTTGGCATGCAACTGGTAGGTCTTACACTTTCTGACCTGCTCTGCTGCGTGTTTGAGTATTGTGGGCCAGAAGTAACATTGCCTTAGCGTCTTACTTGCCAGAGCTCGAGCTCCCATGTGATTACCACAGATGCCTTCGTGGATTTCACTTAGGATATAATTAGCTTCTTCACCCCTTATACATTTCAAGAGAGGTACCGAGAAACCTTGCTTATACAAGTTTCCATGTAGGAGGGTGAATCAGGGCGATCTAGCACTTAGCTTCGCGGCTTCTTTGAAATCTGTTGGTAAGGTTCCATTTTGAATGTATTCCTTGATTGGATCCATCCAGGTTGGTTGGGCCAGTACAGAGAACACTTCTACACCCTCGTGGCTTACTGACGGCTTTGCCAGGTGCTCAACTGGAATTAATCTGTTCAGGTTTTCTTGGGAAGCTATGACTAACCTTTCTAGGGTATGACCTTGAAAGTTCTCAACTCTAGGGATGTGTATGACCTTAACTTGCACAACTTTCTTCATTCGCTTTTGTACCTTCCTCAGGTATAGAACCATTCTCTCTCCCTTGGCTTTATAAGTATCCTCAATCTGCTTCACCACGAGCTGGGAGTTGTTGTACATCACGAGCTGCTCTGCCTCTATGGAATGTGTCATGTTGAGCTCGATAATTACAACTTCGTATTCTAATTCATTGTTTGAAGCCTTGAATTTGAACCTAAGGGCATATTCTATATCTATCCTGTCGGGGGGGGGGGGGGGGGGGGGGGAAGGGTTAGAATCAACCCAGCACTACTGCCTTGGGTGTTGGCGGATCCATCAATGTATCGGTGATTGGATATTAAAGTGTTTCCGGATGGTTCAATATATTCCAGCCAATGTTCTCGAAAACTATTTTCACTTTTGTTCTCTTCCCCTGAAGAATTTTAAATATCTCACTCTGCCGCCAAACTCTAAGTTTAACCACATTGCACCCTCAGTTTTTGATTTTTATTTCACCTTGCAACTTAAGTCAGCCATCTGTACAAGTCGACAATGGTAGCCACAAGCAGAACCATCACGTGAGTGGGTCAAAAGGGTATTTTTAGATGATTATCCAAAATAATACATGATGTTTCTCCTTTTTTTTCTTCTCTACCCACCATTGCCAGCTACGCCACCAACACCAATACACCAAGGCCACACCATCAACTCCAAAATCCGCGTACCCAAGGCAACACACTATTACACACCCACCTACATGTAAAACAAACCATCATTTTCTCTTCTCTACCCACCATCCGCGGTCACACAGTTAACACCAAATCTGAAAAACCGAAACACCATTTTCACATACTCTCCAGTCACAAGACACATATAAATCAAAAAGTTTCCTTCGGTAGAATAAAAAATTACACATACATAGGATCAATTGGGGAGCTAAAATTGGCAGAGAGAATGGTGGGTTCGGTGTGTGTGGTTGGTGTGGCCATGGGGTTGATGTGGGTGTGTGACCGTGTGGCCCCTTGGGGAGGAGGGGGGTTGGTGTTGGTGTAGGCAGTGGTGATGGTGTGTGGCTGTAAGGTTAGTGACTTAGTGGTAGAGAAGGGTGTGTGGTACGGGGGAGGGTGGGTTAAGATTAATTGAAATCAGAATAAGTATAGCCAATTGGGTTGGGGTTGTATTTAGTCCAAATTGGCGTATCCAATTGACATATTTACCCCATACGAACAATCATGGGTCATTCACATCACCGTTTTCCATAGAAATCACTAGCAGCAACTGAGGGAATGTTCAAAGTGGAAAAAATTTCGAATATTGAAGAAGCCATATTTTCTAATACCAAACCAACCAATCCTAGTAAATTGCCATGCGTGTACACATATCCCAAAGAGACGTGTTCAAGAAGAAAAGAAGGCTATAAATGAACATTGCAACTAGTAATGTAGGCAATTACTTAAAAGGAATTATTTCAAGCATCAGCAGCTTCCTATCTGTATCATAAATTACTTCTATTTCTTCTCCATATCTTGGAAGGATGTTCACTCAAATCCTATTTTTGTGAAACCTTCTGTTGGGTACTACAGAGGGAGACAGTCAGAACAGCTTCAGAATTTGCAAAACGGAATCAGCTGCCCTCACATGTACAGGATCAAATGTTGTCACACATATGTCTCAAATTTAAAACAGATGGATTGAAGCAGCAAGAGACCTTGAACAGCCTGCCAAAAGCCATACGTTCCAGCATTGCGTACTATCTCTTCTTCCCCATTGTTCAAACTGTCCATCTTTTCCAAGGGGTTTCTCATGACTTCCTTTTTCAATTGGTATTCTTCTTTTTCCTCCCTTGTTTTTCCTTTTTTTCTGTTTGCAAGCAAAGAAGGCATTTTCCTTTCACAGAGATGATAAAACAATAGAGCAAGTTCATATGCGTGAGTTGTTTTTCTTTCACATAGTGGTGTGCATTACTTTTATAGTTTAATAATGTAATATACCCTTCTAAGAAAAGGTTTCTGAAATGGAAGCCGAGTATTTCCCACCCAAGGAAGATGTGATTCTACAAAATGAGGCCCCAACAGATGTGTACATACTGGTCTCAGGAGCAGTGGTGAGTAACCGTCATATTAATATCACCTGTTGTATGTGCATTCTTATAAATGCTTTCTTCTAACCTTTCTGGTTTTGGAATGATTTGTGGTGGCAGGATTTGATTGCAAATATCGATGGGCACGATCAAGTAGGTCATTTCTACAATACTACATCCATTACTGGTTAAACAAGAACACTGTACAAACCTATCTTCGCATTCTTACATACTGTTCAGGTCCTAGGAAAGGCTGTTGAAGGGGAAATGTTCGGGGAAGTAGGGGTTCTATGCCACAGACCACAGCCATTCACTGTTCGGACCACTAACCTCTCTCAAATATTACGCCTGAACAGGACTACAATGATCAACATGATTCAAGCAAATGCAGAAGATGCACGAATTATTTTGAACAATCTTTTTCGGGTATATAATATAATTGGACCCAACTCTTGAAAAGTGTTATATTACTCTTGCCCTTCCTCTATTCTACGACAACAATGGCTGATTTCGGTTTTTCCATTTACAGAAACTGAAAGATCTGGAATGCTTTGGCTCTGAACAACACATAGATCTGAGTTTGATCCTCAGTCAATGGCTTGATGAAGGACCAAAAGGAGAAAGCTGTTCTCATGCTGGAGATCCACTACTACAGGAAGTGAGAGCCATAGATTTACTTGATTCAGAAGCACGACATAAGACAGAAAGAGGAAAAGCTTGTAACTCCAATAGATGCAGTAAGGATGTAAATTCAACAACAGAGGATGGCCAAACAACTCTTAACCTTGCTGTTCTCAAGGGGCAAATTGAAAAGGCTACGAACCTGCTGGAAGAGGGAGCAAATGCAAACAAACCAGATGCAAAAGGGTGGACACCAAATATTCTAAAAGAACAGACAGGAAACAAAAGTATAAATGACCTTATACTAAATTATGAAAATAGAGGGATATTAAGTGAGCACAGAATAGAGATTACTGAAACAGAAACCGCAGAAAACAATAGGCATGAACAATTCAAACCTACAAAAAATGGGGCCACTAATTGTTCTGACTCTTATCTTAGAAGGCGGACATTCTTCAGCCCAAACAATTCTAGCTATCCGGCGGATACAAGAGTTGGAAGATTTCTCAAGAGGAGAGTCACCATTCACATGAAGTTTCAAAAGAAGAGCTCATCACAAAAGCAGCTTGGGAAGCTAATAATCCTACATGATTCACTTGAAGTGCTGTTCAGCGTTGCAGGTAAGCTTTGCTTGACATCTCAGATAAGTTGAAATAAACCTGAAATACAGATATAGTTTGTTTGGCTCTAGGTTAGACTCAAGTACAAAAGAAAATGAAACTGAAAATCCAACATACAAACAAAGGTCAGACCTTATAATTAAGAAGCTATTCTGACTCAGTGACAGCATGTTTTATTTCCTTTGATGCCTTATTCATTTGACACCCTATGCCTTGTGGAACTGCAGGTCAAAAATTTGGAGGCTACAATGTCACAAAAGTTGTAAATTCAGAGAATGCAGAGATAGATGACATAAGTGTCATTCAAGATGGGGACCATTTATTTCTTCTTACAGATGATGGTGAAGTCAGAGATTGTAATGTGACCTAATGAATAATGAAATGCTTTCTTGCAGACAGTGTAAAACTAGTAGATTCAGGAAACCATAGAGGGACATATTCTAACAAATATTAATCAATAAAATTGGCCCTCTAAAGGGATACTGAGTCATATAAATAAATCTTTCAAATACGATTTCCCTTCTTTGGTATGACAAAAATGATGCAGATAAAACCACTGATAAATTGGGGGAAGAAAACATTCAAGTTGAACCACCTCTCCAATCTGTTAATATCTCACTACAGGCATCTTTTGCTTTGAAATGCAACAATGGAACCATGTGAACTTACAGTTGTATTTAAATCTAGCCCACTAGATAAAATTTAGAGTTGCACCCCTTTTTTGTAAAATAAAATAAAATTTAGAGTTCCTGCAGGCTACATGCTTTAACTAGTATGAATGCTTCTGCTGCAGTCAAAGTATCACTCCCTAATAGTACGGTCTTTAACAGGAAATGCATGAGCTTCTATGTTAAAAACAAGGGAGAATTACGTCTAAATCTTCTGAAATTTGTCACTTAATTATTCAGATCCTCTGATATTTAAAATATTACATACAGACCCCTTAAAATTTATATGCGTGTAACACTTAGACCCCAACTGCAAATATATTAATTAATAAATTATACTTAAATCTCCTAAAGTTTATAAATATATAATATTTAGACCCTATAAATTTAAAATATTATGTTTAGACAAAAAAATACTCCAATGAAAGATAAAATATCAAATATATTAAATTTTACAATTAAAATTCATATTCTATTATATTATTTATTGAAATAAAATCAATTACATTGTCAATTAGAATTTAATTTTGTCGTTTAAACGACCAAATTAAAATATCAAACTATTCCAATTAAAGTTAAAAAATATTGTGTTTGTTACAGTTTGACCTATTGTTTAATTTTTTTAGTTTTATTTTAATAGATAGTATAATTATATACTAACTATGATTTTTTTAAAAAAATTAGGCTTTTACTTTTCATTTTATTTCGATAAATGACATAATAGAACATGAATTTTGGATGTAAAATTCATGTTCTATTATGAATGACATAGAATTTTTGTTTGATTTTATAGTTTTATTCCAAAAGATAGTATAATTGTATACTAATTATAATTTATTAACTGATGCAACAGGGGTTTAAGTATTACGCACATACAAATTTCAGGGAGTTTGTGTATAATATTTTAAATGTTAGGGGATCTGAGTTATTAAATGACAAATTTCATGAGATCTGGATATAATTCTCCCTAAAAACAAATTTATCCAACAAAATAAGACTGCTCTCTCCAAACAGCAAGTATAAATTTTTCAGTGTTTCACCCAAGAAAAAGGCAACCACGTTGTCTCTCCTTTATAGAGGAAGCATGGTAACATCATCAATAGAGCTGCAACCGCCCGAATCAACCTTTGTCTATTTCTCAAATGCCTAAAAAATCCCCCAACCCATTCACGAAATTTGTGATATGAAATGGGAAGCTATCACATGTTAAGGTATTCATTTGACAATGCATTGCAATGAAAATACCAAGGTAAAAACGTGCTAAGAAAGATCAATTCCACCGGTTCACGTAGTACACAACATTCCAACAAAAGATTCCTTAAAATACCGCTCAAATTCTTACTTACATGGTGCACAACAAATCACATTATTTCGAAATTCAACCACATCACATGTCAATACAGCAACAAGACATTGATGGAAAAATAGCAAATTAATCACTAATCTAGATCTGACAAAAAAAAAAAAAATCACCAATCTAGACAGTTTGCAAAGCTTCAGGACCGATCGTTTGCGAATCTCGGCACTGTCGTAATTCACATCCTTTACTGAGTACGACAAAGATGTCAAAGTGTTCAATCTGATTACGAGCTAGGGTTTTAGCTCCTGATCCTCAAAAACTCTGTAAATTACCCATAGATGGATAGAATTCGAGACAACAACGAGGGAATCTAGCGAGAGGAAAATTGCGGGAACTCAAATAGTGCTCTTAAAAATCTATTATTTATAATATAAAACAACATAATCTTGAATAAATGAATTAATCCATTTAATAGTGATTATTATCCTCTTAAAATAATTCACGTATCACAAATTACCCTTAATATTAGCAATAATTTGACTAAAAATATTGTACACTACAAAAATAAAAATTGAGCAATTGATTGTGTAATATAAATATTTTAAAAAATAAATTATATTTTCTTTCTTTAATTACACTATTTGGTGGATTTGTTGGGATGCAAAAGGGTTGAATTTTTTATGTAGAAAGATATTCGTGTGAGAGAGTCATGGAAAAGAGATTAATGAGATGTGGGAAAAGATATATGTGGGATTTTGTTTTTGTTTTTTTTGTTGGTGTGCATGCAAAAGGGAGATTTTGAGTTTGAGGGAAAAATTTTTGGAGACTAAATTTGGATCATTAGATTAATGAGATGTAAATTGAATCAATCTCGGTTTGAATGCTTCCTCGTAGCCCGCATCCCATTGGAATGCCTTTTTTAAGGTCTGAAAGAAAGTCTGGCACTTGTCGCTTGATCTGGAGACAAAGAGACTTAAGGTTGCTATCCTTCCTATTAAGCGTTGGACCTCCCTTTCATTTGAAGGTGGTTGGATGTCTATCACTGCTTTGACCTTCTCTGGGTTTTCCTTTATTTCTTTGTTGTTGACTATAAAGCCCAAGAACTTCCTAGCGGAGACCCCAAAGACGCATTTGACTGGGTTGAGCTTCATCTGGTATTTCTTAAGGATCTAAAAAAACTCCTCAAGGTGCCCAATGTGGAGCTCATCTTTCAACGACTTCACCAGCATGTTGTCGATGTACACCTCTATTGATGTTCCCATCTGTTTTTGGAACATTATGTTTACCAAAGGCTGGTACGTAGCTTTAGAATTCTTCAGGCCAAATGGCATAATCTGGTAGCAGTATGTCCCCTGCTCAGTCATGAAGGATGTTTTCTTTTGGTCTTTGGGGTCCATTCTGATCAGGTTATACACAAAAAAAAACATCCATAAAGCTGAGGAGTTCATGCCTAGCTGTGGTATCTACGATCAGGTCAATTTGAGTTAAGGGGAAGCTTTTCTTGGGGAAAGTGCGATTTAGGTCAGTGAAGTCGATGCAAAAATGCCACTTGCCAGTTGACTTCTTGATGAGGACCACGTTGGCTAACTAAGTCGAATAGTCCACCTCTTTGATGGCTTTGGCGTGGAGAATTTTGCTGACCTCCTCATTGATTGCATTTTGGCGTTCTGGGGCAAAACTTCTCTACTTCTATTTGATGGGCTTGAAGGTCAGATTCACGTTGAGCTTGTGCGTGATGACCAAGGGGTCAATCCCCTGCATATCCTTCTGTGTCCATGCAAACACCTCCATATTCTTTCTGAGAGATTGAATAAGGTGGTCTCTAATTTCCCTGGGTAGCTTCGATCCCATGTATACCAGATACTCTGGCTCCTCGTCAAGTTGTATAGGCTCCAACTCTTTTGAAGGCATTGGCCTTGTTTCTAGCTCATCTTTAGTGTCGAGTTCGTCCACTTGGATATTCTTGACCTTTTTTTTCTTCATAGACGCCATATAGCATTCTCGTGCCACACGCTGGTCTACTCGGACCACTTTGATGCCTTTTTCAATGGGAAACTTCATGACGAGGTAGTAAGTAGAATGAATGATCCTTATGGCATTGAGGGAAGGTCTTCCCAGCAAAACATTGTATGCCGAGGGAGCATCGACTACCAAGAACCTCACGGTGGTGGTGAAATGACAAGGTGGATCTCCCATGGTGAGGACGTGCTTGATAACACCCTTTCCCTTGAGAATCCTAAAAGGTGAACCCTCACTGGTTCAAGTTTATCTCTGCCTACATCCATTTTGTCAAAGGCAGATGCGAATATAATATCGACAGAGCTCCCATTATCGATCAGAACCCGATGGACGGTCGTGTTAGCGATGATGACCCTTACCACCAAAGGGTCATCATAGAGATATTAGCAACCTTCAAGGTCTGCATCTGAAAAAGTGATGTCTATGTTTAGTTGAGGTGCTTTGGACATAACTTGTACTTGTAGCACCTTATCAATTCTAACTTTGCGCATGTGAGCCTTCATGGTTGAGCTGGATTCCCTACCTCCAGCGAATCCTCCAGATATTAATTTGATCTCTCCCAGAGGTTGTTGATACTGTGCATGGACTTGCTACTGAGGTGCTGGGGGCAAGTGAGCTCGATTCTGATTATCTTGTGCCACAAAGGGGCACAGTTTCCCCTATTGAATCAGGAACTCAATCTTCTTTTTCAACTAGATGCAGTCGTTAGTGAGATGGCCATGATCTTTGTGGTACTCGTAGTATTTTGTTGCATCCTTTTTTGTGGGAACTGCCTTCATCCAAGGTGGCCACCTTAGAAATTTTTCATGTTGTACCTCATAAAGGACTTGGGATACTGTGGCTGTGATGGGAGTGAACTACCGAGGTGAAAACCTTGATTGTAACTCTTGTGGTGAAGGACCTAGGTGATCTCTGATGTCTCCTTTCATTTTCGAAGAGTGGTCCCTGTCCCTTTGTAGAGATATGTCTCAACTTTTCTCCTTTCTGGGACTTTGGTTCCTCTTATTCTCCTTCTCTTTGTGCGTGGATGAGCTCCTTACCTTTGAAAGGAGTGTTTCCTTGCCGTTGATGTACTTCTCTGCCTTGACAATGATTTATGTCATACTGGCTTGTTGTTTTTTGGAGATGGAGAACATCAGGTCCTTTGATTGGACTTCTAGCTTAGCAATAAATGCAGTGATGGTGAATTTCTCTTCAGGGATGTCTACTTTCAAAGATTATGAGTTGAACCTCTGAACATAGCTTTGCAGGTTCTCATTGGGTCCTTATTTCACCTTCAACAGGTGATAGCTCGGCTTTCAATAACTCCGAGCTCCTATGAAGTGCAAGACAAAGGTGATAGAGAGCTCTTTAAAGGATGAGATAGATGTCGGGATCAGCCTGTTAAACAATGCTAAGGTTGAAACCTTTAGAGTGATGGTGAAGACTCGACATTGTACTGGGTC